ACACCGGCCAGCCAGATGGTAAGATTGGGAGGGTTCAACTTTGACTTAAAGTCCTCTATAATAAATGGGCGCCAGGTGACAAGTCACCGTCAAAGGTTATGGCTACAGAAGTTACTCAGGTTAACAATAACAATTCAAAGGCTTTAATAATACAAAGACAAACAATATCACAGCGTGAAGAAGTACAAACACTGACTCCAAGTACCTCCAAATTCAGAAACTAACACTCAAACAGGAACTACAAGTTCACAACTTCTCAAAGAAGATAAAGGCTAACAGCCAAACAAATCTTAAACAATTAAAAGACAGAGGACCAGCCTCTAACTAGAGCTAAAAACGCTCCATGAAACTCAAGGTACACAGGCGCTAAATAACCGCCAATCTCAAACGAGGTACAAGTAAGTCCCTCAAACAATCTCAAAATCTCAACTCAAAATGGCTACAATACAAAGCCAGACATTACAGAAAAGTTCTAGTAAAACTAGAGAATTCAGATCATAGACCTCAAATCACAAGGTCATAATAAAAGCAGACACCTCAAAGGCTCTACCAAATTACCGCAGTCAAACTGACTATACGCAGAAATACAAATAAAATATACATGAGTCCGGGAGAAACTCTAGAAGAAAGATGAAGCTGAACAGCAACCTCAAAATCACAGCAAGCGGGAGCAATGGCAAAACCAATCAAACATGAGAGCCATAAACACATGGTAGGGTTATAACATAACCAAGAACCCTGAAACAACAAGAGAACAACAGGACACTCAGTATACCGGACATTTTGACCAGGAATATCAATTCATGTTCTTCTGAGGCATCAATAAATTAACTCACCGATCAGGTGTAAAATAAACACTGGGATCCAGTCAGGAAATCACCACAGTGCACATCGGGTTCATCAAAAAACGTTCCTACAATATCACATTTCCATCAGTTAATCTCTTCCAGAAAATAATGATCAAAATCAATCCATCGCTCAACTCACCAATGCACAAAAGAATGTGAGCCAGCACATAGAAGAAAAACGCTTGGAACATCAAAATAAAACATCACCTGTGGCAAAGCACATGGGAACCGGAGGTTAGGCGGGCCATCCATATATCAACATCAGAAATATTACTTCATAGTAATTGTGGCACTCACCAACTTATCTTCAATTAAAATATAAATGCCCTAAAGCATAAAACTGAACTACAGCAGTTCTCCACTCAAAAGATATCTCCGATGATTAAAGATTAAAAACACATGCTCTCTACTCCCGTCATTCTCACCGGACTGACAACCGGAAACTGACTCTCACTGCTCTCTCTGCTTCCGAGAACGTTCCCGTGACGCCGCGCGCCAAAAGCTCCAGTATGGCAAACTGCGATGGCCGCTTAGCGCGCCAATCTCCAATATGAGAATCCAGTATGGCCGCACTCCGCGCCAAATTCAAATAGTATGAGAAACGTCACGAGGGAAGGGTGGGAAATTCGAACTCGAGCGCACAACCGCGAAGCTTAAAACTGAACCGTTCGGCGCCTCAATTTAAAAACCAACGGTCACCTTAGACTGCGGACAGAGATTTAATAAAATGGAAGGAAAAACCAACCAGTAACGAATAGTGATCGTTACAGCGGGAGGCAATATTTGAGTTTCATCATTGATTTAACGTGACCACAATATGGTCTTTTAACGCTGTACTAGAAGTACGTGATTTGAACTATCGCCACTTTGCACATATACTATTTGAAGTTAAATAAAACCATTGCGACCAAAAAACCTGGCAAATTGGATAAAAAAAATTACAACTTTTAGGAAATTCCAAATGACCCGTATTCTGAGATTCACCCGGGTACCTCTTGCACTACACTAGAAAACTAAAGGAATGAGTAAAAGCTGACGAGTTATTGCCCCCTCGGTGTAAAACCTGGGCTTTCCGTTGCTACAGCGACACTGTGCTTTGCGTCTACGGTCTGTATCTTAGGTGCAGTGCCATTGAAATCTGACTGTATCATCGGAAAACCTCCCCTTGTAAGAACAGCATCTACAGCAACGCCATAAATCGTTCCGCATTAGACTCCAATTTTTATTTGCAGTGTGCGAATCTCCATGTCAGCAACTGTCACGGCAGCGCGCGCGCCCTCGGCCCCGGGTGCTCAAAAGGGATTAAGGGGGCAGACCTGATGGCCAAGGTCCAGTATTGTCAACAAAACTGGGCCATCACCGTCTTAAATAATATTATTGTTAGGAGGGAGGGGGTCAGATGGGTAGCGTAAACCATGGTCACTGAGGCCCAGTATTGTCAACAATACTGACCCAAGGCCCATGATTGTCAAGAATACTGAGCCACGGCCCAGTATTGTCAACAATCCTGGGCAATCACCCTCTTAAATAAGATTACTATTAGGAGG